GAGGGGAGGGGGGAGGATGAGGAGGAGGGGGAGGAGGAGGATGAGGAGGGTGAGGGTGAGGGTGAGGGTAAGTGAATTGCATCTGGCCCTCGGTCCTGCCTCCTGACCTCATCCCTCTGCCACTCGGGGAGCACCAATAGGATGGCTTGGAGAATGTGACCAGGTGTGTAGCCATCGGACACCTTGGGCAGGGCACTGATGTCCAGGTGACCCAGAGCCACCTGGACTCTCTGAGTGTGCAGCATGTGTTTCCAGAGCTGTGTCTACAGTAGCTTTTTCTCTTCCCCAGAGCCCCCCATCCCTCTGCCCGGAATCCTGCTAGAGCCGTGGTTTCTTTTAGTTCCACCAGATGCTTCAGGCCACAGTGTCAGACGCTGTGGCCCTCTCTCCTGTGCTCCCATAGCCACCTCATCACCCTGGGGGGTGCCACCAACTCAGAGATAAGGAAGTAAGAGGTAGCTGGTGCCAGAAACAACAAAGGGATCCTAAGACACAGGTGGCACTTTCAGGCTCCCACTCTCAAGGAAACCAGGTGAGCCAGGCCTGCCCACAAGTCCTTCCCTGTGACTTCTAGTTCCCTCACAGGCTGAACTCCATGGGGCAGCAGAGAGAGGACCCCGAGGTTTAGAGGGCTGCCTCGCTCTGGTGCTAGCCCACAATCCTCCCCCCTGGCTGCCCCCCTACCCACCAAGCCTCACCTTTAGGGATGCCTCCTCCTCCCTGTACACTGGCTCCAGCTTCGCCAGATGAGCTAGGAACTCTGAGGCCAGCAGGGGCCGCCTGGACAATTGGAGGAGCCGCCGCTCGGTGAGCACCAGTCGGATGGCTTGGAGAATGTGACCAGGTGTGTAGCCATCGGACACCCTGGCCAGGGCACTGATGTCCAGGTGGGTCTGGGTCACGTGGATTCTCTCCATGTGCAGCATGTGCTTCCAGAGCACTGCGGGCGTGGGGGGGGGAAACGGGGCCGAGAGGCAGTGAGCCCTCCTCCCAGGACGGTGGGGATCATCCCCACTCAACACAGGAAAATGAGACGGAGGACTTAAGCAGCCGGCCCTTGTCCACAGAACCGGGCCAGGACCCAGGCCCCTGGGTTGCTTGTGTCGCAGCTGGCCCTTCCAGAGCACTTGGCTGTGAAGGTGCTGCTCAGAGCAACAGTGGGGGTTGGGAATAAGAGTGGGGAGCTTTGGCAGGAACCCCTTCTCTGGCCTGTCCCCACATTCCCAGGCCTCACCATAGCGAGAAGCGTAATCGGGCCGCGGCATGAAGAGAATCCGTTCGTAGGTCCGGCGCAGCCCCTTCATCTCGGCGAGGTGCGGTTGGTTAGTGGTCCCTATCAGCATGACGCGGTCTCCGGGATTCAGCAGGCGCAGGGCCTTGGTGAGGTCCTTCTTTATTCGCTTTGGGTCCATCTGCTCGGGGGAGCAGGGGTGGGGGTGGGGACACGGTGACTCATTATATGGGCTTCCAAGTACTCAGGGCACCTGTCCACACGCACAGGGACCCTGAGAGGCAGACGGGAGCAGCTGTCAATCCTGCTTTAAGGAGAAGGAAATAAGGCAGGAGGAGGACAGGGGACTTGTCCAAGGTCACGCCGTGGGTGTCACTTGAGTGGCTTACCAGGGGCTCAGGCTGCCTGCCTGGTGCTCCCTTACCTCCCTTTCCTCTTTTGGGACCTTCTTATAGAAATTCTTCTCGGCATTTCCAATCCAGATCACTGAGGGCTGTAGGAGTCGAGCCACCTGGACAGATCAGAGAATAGAAACCTGACAATAGCCATTCCTGGGCAAGGCTCACCTCCCCATCTGGCCCAACCCAGGGTCAGGGCGGCCTAGGGCAATGGTGGCCAGGTTCCACTTCCCACATACTGCCGACCCCACCTGCCAGCCCTTTGCACACCCAGCACCCTTCAGTGTGAGCAGAGTCCTTGCCCTCCCTGGGGATTGGGGGTGGCTACATCCTACGCCTCATCTCTCCTCCCCACTTCGCCCCACCTTCCCCCTTATGGGGCTTCAGGTGTCCACAGTCTCCTAGCAGTGCTTGGTAAAGACCTCGCCAGCTCCCGAACTCACACCAGCTAGGCAGATGGGTGGCCTCCTGAGCATAGAGCCCACCCTGCTCTGTTGTCACAGCCTGAGAACTAGAAATGCCGAACCTTAAAGACAATGTGCACTAGCATCTGCACCCCGGCCTTGCCAGGATATTTGCCCTGCAGGTTGGCAGGTGACAGGTCGAACAGGTTGGCACCAGTTTCTGTGCACACGGCATTGACCAGCATCTTCTTCCCCACACCGGAGGGGCCCACCAGGAGGATGGAGCGGATGAGGGGAGCCATGGAGTGTATATCAGGGGAGCCTGAGAGAGGAAACAGAAGCCAGAGACAGACAGTGGGCCGTCAGGGACCCGGATGGGGCATGGTGTGAGGCGAGGTCCAAGGCCGGGGGCTGAGTGGGATGAGGTTCACATCTTGGCTGCACTGCCTCCTCCCATGGCCTGAGCAGTCCCCCAGGCAAACATGCCAGGAGCGGCAGCTTACAAGCCTTCCAATGGCTCAGAAATCACAATGACAACAGGTGGATGTCAGGAGGGAGCCCCTGCCCCGTCCAATGTCCTTTCTGTTTCCCATGCCACCTGTTCCTACCCCTGCATTAAGAAGGGGTCCAACTAAAAGGTGTGGGATATCAACCTCTTTAGAAAGACACCAATCTTCTAGAAATGGGGCAAGACTATGGGATGCCACTTGGAATTGAGTAAGAGGCTGGAAGTGTGTTCTCCTCAGCAGGTCAAGAGCCCACATGACTTCTGGGGTGGCCCAGGCTGGAGGAACCCACTGTAGGTCCCCGGCCCGGGGCATTGGAGGCTGTGACTGGACATGCCTGCCTCAACCACCCTCCTCCCTCCCCAAGGCTTCCCTCCACTAGGGCCTCTCACCAAGCCGAAGGACCCCGTACAAGGCCATATTCTGTCGAACGTCAAATAGGGAAGGCATGGGCAACTTGTGGGCCAGACTCAGAGTGGATCCAAGATAGAGGTAGTCACCTGGGGGACAGGTGGCCACCTGGTGAGTGGCATCTACTTGGGCAGGGCCAAGAGAGAGAGCCACTGGAGGAGAAGGTTCACTTCAGAGGGTGGTTGTTGGCCACCAGGAAGGCCATGGCCTGGGAGCCTTGGGCACCATTCCTTAGCCTGGGAGCAGGTGCGGGGGAGGGGTCTCACCAACGAAGTCCTTCAATAACACTGCCTTGCACTTCTTTAGAAGGCCAAAGACAACAAGCTCTTCAAACAGAGAGGCCAGGGACCTGGCAGAGGATGGCACAGGGCCTCCCCCCGAGAAGGAAGGGACATGGAGAAAGAGATGAGTAGGGTGCTGTCACAGGCATGAGGAGAGAGGCTAAGAGGCCCTTCTGCCCCACCTCCTGTGGTCAACAGCAATAGTGCCACTGGGCAGCCAGTGCCAGAAGGTGGGGCACCAACCCGCAGGCCCAGAAGGCAGTCTGCCCAGACACAGCAGTGCTCTGTGGGTTGGGGGGTGTAAGAAGGACCAGCATCCTGTAACTCTCCCTCCACCAGTCTGCTCAAGGCCAAAAGTTCCACCAACGGAACCCAGTCGACCCCTCTTCCTAGAAACCACATTTAAGGTGAACATGGTCTGGGAGGGGTGATCATCAAAGCAACTAACGTCATTGTGCTCATGACTCACTTCAAGAGAGAAGTGAGTAGAAAGGGACAGCTGACTTCAAGGCCCCCGAGTGGGAAGTCCATGGGGAGATGGCTTTGTAGGGACAGAGCTGATGAAGGCCAAGGCGAGAGGGAACGTTGATAACAATACGCCACTCATATCTTATTCTATATCATCGTTTCAAATCACTTTCTTATGCTTCTGTTTGATCCTCACAGCTATCTTTTGGGTTTGGCAGGAGAAGTGCTTGGTTAATATGGAGTCAGAGAGGTTAAATGACTTTCCCGAGGTCACACAGCAACAGAACCAGGGCCAGCAGTTGGATCTATGGAGGGTCTGCTACCTGTTCGGGGTCAGATCTTTTTCCTTCTTCTTTTTCTTCTTCCCAGCTTTCTTTTTCACATTTTTTTTCTGGATAGAAACAAGCACATCGGAAATTGTCCTGTGTTCCTTGCCTCCCCTGTTGTGCCCTCCCTCTCCTGTCCCAGCCAGGCCTCTCATCTTGCCTTCGGAGCCTTGAAGGGTCTCTCCTCCTCCCGGTCCACAGCCAGGCGCAGGTTCTTCAGCTCTTGACGCATCAGCTCATCCACCTGCAGAGACAGAAGAGTGTGTGGAGGGGCGACCAGGGCTGGGAGGACAGGCAGGAGAGGTAGGGATGGAGGCAGGGGTGGAGAGGAAGACAGCAGCCTCAGAGCAGAGCCAGACAAGCACAGTGAAGGTAGCAGTGGCCAATAACCTTCCCATGTCTTCTTTCAGAGCCCTTGGCCTTGGCATTTGTCCCTATCCCTGCACCTGTCCACCCTCAATCCTAACCCATATTCTGCTCATGCATGAACCCTGCTCTCAACTGGCTATCAATGTGGAGAGAAGCCCGGGGATGGAGTGGGTCAGCTTTCAGCTGCAGCCCGAGACCCACCCTGCAGGCTCTGTGTGAACTTGAGGAGTTGTATGACCGCTCAGCCTCAGTTTTTTTATAAGTAGCATCAGGAAAATTATGGTGCTTACCTCAGGCGCCATTGTGATCATGTGATCTAACGCTCCCAAAGACACATCGTAAGAGCTCTTTAAGCGTTGGTGAAGATGATGGTGGGTGTGGCCCCGGCACAGAGCCCCCCATTCCCTCACCTCTGGGCTGCAGGGGAGCGAGAGGGACCCAGAGAGGCAGAGGACAGTGGGACCAGGATGGACTGAGATGGCCTATACAGGGAAGGCAGTGGCTAGAGGAAGCTATAAAGGATGAGCAAGCTGTGGGTGTGAGCAGAGGGAAGACAGAGGGACCGAGCCCGAAGCAGCTGAAGGCTGTGGTGGGAAGAGGGGGCCTGCAAAGAGGCCGGAGCCAGAATGCCCACCTGTTTCCGGATCTCCTGCTCCAGTTCCTTCCTCTTCTCCGCCCGGAGGGCCTTGGGGTCAAAACTCTGATCAGGGTATAGGTGGTCAGGCCGGTTCTTCCACACATCTGAGCATGGGGAGATGGGCGGAGTGGAGGGCAGAGTCCCAGGTGTACTCACATACACAGTCACACACTCACACACGTGCTCACATGGGCCAGGAACCTGTTTCAGGCTGGTCTACTTCTCTCTCGCTCTGTCTCTCTGTCTCTCACACACATGCACACATGAGCCAAGATCCTGACCCAGGCTGGCCCCCTGTCCTCACCCAGCTACCTGGCACTGCTTCTACCACATCATAGACTAGCGGCGGCGAACCTTTTGAGCTTGGCGTGTCATCATTTTGAAAAACCCTAACTTAACTCTGGTGCTGTGTCACATATAGAAATTTTTTGATATTTGCAACCATAGTAAAATAAAGACTTATATTTTTGATATTTATTTTGTATATTTAAATGCCATTTAACAAAGAAAAATCAACCAAAAGAATGAGTTCGCCTGTCACCTCTGACACGCATGTCATAGGTTCGCCATCACTGTCCTAGACAGAGGCCTGATCCCAAGGCCTATGACTGCGGGATTCAGACCCAAACCCATAATGACCTCACACCCTCTCCCTTTGGTGTTAGCCCCTTGGCCTCCACACCCGTTCTGCCACCTGATGACCCACGTGGCACATGTCCACTTTCCCCAGGACCAAGGGTCACTCTAAGGTCCCACACGTCCTGGACAGCTCCCAGCCTTCTCTCCCCTTACTTTTATACTCCTCGTGTCCGGCATTGATCAGGGGTATAAATTTGGATGGCAATGCTTTCAGCATTGTATCTGCTTCCTAGAATAGAAACACCATGTGACCTTGACCCTGCCTTCACCCTTCACAAACTCTGATCCTAATAATGCTCACCAGACCAGCTTTCCTACCAGAAATCCCCTCAGACTTTGCTCCCCCTGCCCTATTATTTCACACGTTCAGGAGCTGCCTTACACCCTTCTTGGTCTTGTCTTCCTTCGCTTTCTTCTTCTCCTTTTCTTTTTCTTTATTTTTGTCTTCTTTTTTAGTGCTCTCCTGGACCGGATTCTCCAGTTCCATTTTCACCTGTGACCAAGGATAAACGATGCTTCAGCGAAGACCAAGGGCATTTTATAGGAGCAAGAGAACCCAGGCCTGTGGCTGGGGTGGGCTCAGGGTCCCAAGGCCTAGGGGAACTGGTGGAGCCCTGAGACTTATCTGGGGTCCAGGAAGAGGGGCATCAGGTGATGAAGTGTTCTGACCAGAGCGGTTGCTCTCTCCTGGCCTGTGGGTTACTAGAGCTATAATAGTCTCACCAGACATTTCCTCTCCCTGGACAAGGATGCCTTCTCAGATGCAGGTACCCCATCCCCCCAAGCAGTCTTCCTAACTACATATATTTCCTCCAGCCACCTCTGCCTCCATTGAGACTGACCTCGCCCGGCACCCCACTGCCACCCTCAGTTTACACTCAGTACTCTCTGTAACCTCAGACTCGATCGGCCACAGAAAATCTGCCCCACCTCCAGGGTACCTGTTCTGGAGTCTTGTCTGAGAAGATCTGGTTGGATCCACCTAAAGACTCGTCTGGATAATTAGGGAATCGGCCAGTAAGGGCACTAAGTGGACATAAGATGGTCAGAGAGATGGACAGGTGGGTGGACATATGGACGAATGGATGGGCAGGTGGAAGGGTGGGTAGAAGGGTGGGTCTATGGATGAATAGATGCATAGAGAGAAGGATGGGGAAGGATAAAGGGGCAGAGAGGATGAGGGAGAGAGGAAGCAATAGTTACAGAATAGAAACGACAGATCACTCAGGGGACATTCCTGGATGCTTTCCCCATCTTATTCTGTCATTTTCTCTTCTATTCGGGGAAATAGCAAGTCATGGTGGAGAGAGTCCTGTAGTGGAGATGGTCCCAAGTTTAAGCCAATGCATTAGCAGAGTGCTGGTGGGACAGGGTGAATGGAGAAGAGGGCCCAGGCTAGACCAGAGGACAAGGCAGGTGTGGGGACCTGGGTGAGGCGGGAAAGGGGTTGAGTCAGCCGAGGCTGGGGACACTGACTGGCACTCGATAAACCACTGTCGGATCTGCTCCTTCATTTTCTCCTTGATATCGGGCCCCTCGGTCTCTCTGAGGGCATCGTGGGTCTTCGCAATGGCCATCTGGAACTCCTCCTCTTTCTCTGTCTGGCGGGATCTCCTGACATCATTCCTGAGGTTGGCTACGGACACGTGCTCCACTGTGTCGGGCAAGGGGATCTGGGGACATGAGGAGGGGGCCAAGGGACTCAGGAATGGGAGTGGGGAGGACCTGGCCTTAGGCTCGCACACCTGCCCCCACGCATTCCCTGCACGTGCCTCCCATGCACACCCACACGGAACATCGGGCATGCCTGCATCAGGAGAAATTGTTTGGTGCTGAAACTCCTCTGTGTAAATTACTCTGATAATGAGTTTGCTAGATGCATCCGGGCAGGCCCCCCTGCCCGATCTCCCAGCACACCCTCCCCTGTGAGCCTCAGCCCCACACTCGCAGCCACTTTCCCGCCTCATTGGCTCCCAAATGTATTTTAAATATCACTGTGCGCAGAGACAATTACTGAAAACGCTGAGCTCACACTGCTGATGGGCCGGGCAGCAGGCTCATTCCTCACCCCCCGCTGTGCCAAAGCCCCCCCTGCCCCCTCCCCACCAAAGCCTGACCTCGGGCCTCCTGGGGGTCCAGATCATCAGCCCCCCAAGTCTCTGACCTCCACTCCCATGAAGCAGACCCTGGCCCCTCTCTCCTGAAGTCCCCAAGCCTCTTAAAGTAGCCATCCCAGCTCTGTCTCTAATCTCTCTGCCCCGCCCCCATATCAGCCAGGCCTCCATGGGCTCTGCCCACTGCAAAGCCCCTCCCAGGGATCATGTCTCTTGCCCCTGTCACCCTAAGTCAGCGGAGGCCAGCTAGATGAAGGAAGCATCAGAGAGCAGAGGACAGACAGATTCAGGGAGTGAGGCCTGTGCACACTCTTACCAGTGTGCACAGGCCCCACTTACCATCCACACTCCCCTCTTACCACCCACACTCCCCCATGTGCACTCTCACGCTTGCCTCATGTTGGTCACACAGCCCTGCTCTCTGCATGCAGAGGAGAAGCAATTCTGGGGCCCAGAGCAAGTGGGGAGCCCATAGCCCCCCAAAAAACACTGTGTGAGAGGGTGTGCCCCATCCCAACTGGGCCCCTGTGACCTCCTTCTGCTGGGCCCACACATGCAGCCCCTCCTCCAGCTAGGGGCACAGGCATGGGGTCCAGGGTCCTTGGTGCTACTATCCCTCACCCACACCCATATTTGAGATTCTTCTAAGGGCTCTAGTTCAGGGAGGGTGGGAAGGGATGTGTTGGCTGTGGCTTTCCTGTCCTTTCTCAGCCAAGTCCTGAAGGACTCTCGGGCCCCCTGGCATTGGCCTGCTCCCCTTCATCGTGCCCACCACAGTCCTGAGTGGTGGGTGGTGTGGGCAGTGATGGCTGTCAGGGCTGTGCTCGGGCTGGGACACAGAAGGACGTCCCATACACTGGCAGCCCTGTGCCCCTGCCTGTGCCCAGAGGACTCACCATGCCGATGAATTCCATCTCTGTTTGCCGGTCATACTGAGTGTGTTTCCTCTGTAGGTAACCTTTCCACACCTGGGGGAACACAGGCCCAGACACTCCGCACACTGCACTTCTTCTAGGATGTGGCTCTTGGGCTTAGCAGCTGCCCTGGAGGTCTGGCTGGTGAAGGTTTGGGTGGGAGGTGGGGGAGGAGCTAGGGAGGCACCTGGGGAGGTGCAGCTCATGGACAATTGCCACCTGAGCAGGGACAGTGTGAAACAGGGTGGGGCAGGGATGCACCCAAGCTGTCCAGCACCTAGGCATTGCTCCCTCAGGGCCTCCCCGGCAGTCCCTCCTCATCTGCTGTAACTTTTGAGGCACAGATCAGAGTTCAAATACTGCCATCTTCAAAAAGCACTTACCACACTCATGTCTCAGAATTCCCATAGCATTTGGAATAAATACTCGATTATTTCACCCACGCACACAAACATCAGTTCCGTAGGGACTATGGAGCTCCCCTAAACAATTCCTGCATTTCTGACATAAGGAAACTGAGGCTGGAGACAGGACAAGATCTCTCCCAGGCCCGGAGCCTGTCACTGCAGAGCTGAGACTGGGGCCAGGTTTCCTGACTCCTCACCCAATGTTCTCCCAGGCCACCAGCCCCTCTCAGACCTGCGGACAGCCCAGTGCCAGAGGGTAGAAGGAGGTGCACTGGGCAGAGGGAGGCAGGGCGGGCGCCTGTCCGGGCTCCTGGGACTAGCAGTGGAAAAGCCCAAGATAATGGCTTCTGATTAGTATTTGTACTCGAGAACTTGAAGACTGGGATGTAGAATTCCCACATCTTTGATGTCTGGCAACAGGGACAAAGTGACTTGCTTTGGTTCTTGGGGGGAAGTGGGGTTCTGTCTTTGGGGTCAACGCCCCTCTCAAAATGCTGCTTTATTGACCCTGAAGGTGAGGACCTCCTCATCCATGGGGTAGCTGGATTGGGTCAGTCACCAAATGCAGGGGCTCTGATTGGAACACTCTGCCTACTGATCAATAATCAAAATCTATCCCAGCCGGGGCTGAGGGTGGGGGAGAGGGTCAGTGGTTGAACGTCAACCTATGAACCAGGAGGTCACAGTTCTATTCCCAGTCAGGGCACATGCCCAGGGTGCAGGCTCAATCCCCAGTATGAGACGTGCAGGAGGCAGCCGATAAATGATTCTCTTTCATCATTGATGTTTTTATCTCTCTCTTCCTCTCCCTTCTCTGAAGTGAATAAAAATTTGATTTTTTTTTAAATAATCAAAATCTGCCCACTTGGAGAGGCTCTCTGTCCTCAGGGGTGATGTTTGTCAGTAGGTTGGTTTACTTTTGGGTTTTGGTAGAAAGTGGCTCTAAGTTTCCTCTCTGGGGCCAGCAGACAGGAGGTGTGGAGGCATTGGGACTTGCAGGAGAAGGAGAGGAAAACCTAGCCCATGCCAGCCATTCTGGGCCCGCTTTGGAAAGAAAAGGTAGCAAGTGACTTCCTGTGACCAGCAGGGCCCCAGGAGGGGTGACAGCTGCAGGAGCAAAATGGCCCTTTTCTGCACTGAAATTTTCCCAGGGCCCCTCCAGGATCATCAAGCTGGTAACCACTATTGCCCAGCCTCATGGCGGCCAATGATAGATGCCAGGCCCACACACTGGGGGCACAGAGGAGCTGGGAGGTGTCGAATGGCCCCAGAACAGTGAGAAGGATGGGGAAACCTGGGGACACAGCTGGATGCTCTTCAGTGAGCAGGATGGGGTGTGATTGTGTTATTTCCATGTTAAAACTGAGGGTGACTCCAGATGGCACAGACCTTGAGGATGCCTGGATCACATCAGTTCTCTTCATTATATTTCCTTTTGCCTCAGCAGCCAGGAGGGTCAGGGTATATTTTAGTGACATTTTTAACAGTCTTAAGAATTTCTAAAATGATTACCTATTCTGTCCTGCTACCTTATTATGGATCATTCTCCCCTAATTTTAATGAACCATCTGTGTCTAGGACTTTTATGGTATCCTACTTCAAGTTCTTTTTGGGGATAAGATGTAGAATAAATAAACAAATAAGATGCATGATTATTGATTATCAAGGTCCCTAGTTTAGAGTCTAGTTATGTGGCTACAGAACCCAAGCTCCTGCACCTCTGCCATCAATTGCTAAGCTAGGGAGGCTTCCTGGAAGAGGTGACTACCTTGCCTTTCTTCCTGGACACTGGGGGGGTTACCTTCTGAATGGTGATAGCTGCTTG